CAGGCTGTTCCTTCTGCCTAGAACACCCTCTCCAGCCAACTCTACAACCTCCACAGCACTGGATTCTGCCCATCCCTCAAAGCTCAGCACTAAAGACACCCCCTCCAGGAAGCCTTCCCCCTTTCTCAGCCTGCACACCTGTCTCCTCACCCCCTCCTCTCCTGGTGGGCTCTGGCCCACTCTACACAGGAACCTGAGCTCCCTGAAGAAAGCATGTCCGGCACCACGTCTTTTCTCCCACAGTCCCAGCCCCTTTTCTGACGCAGAGAGGAAGGCGTCCAAGGCCATCCCCAATGACCCAACTCAACATGGTCAAAAACATAAACCAGCCCCTTCCCAGGAGTGGGACACCCACAAGAGTAGGCAGTGCTCGGCCCCAGACACACCAGCCTGGACAAATGCCACTGTCCAGAGCGCAAAGCAGCGTATGAGAGCCGGAGGCATTTCTGGTAGCTTTCTCTGTTAGACAAGGGACAGGCCTTCTCCTGATTTAACCCCTGTGACCTTTGAACTTCCTGGGAGGTCAGCAGCATGTCCCCCTTCCCCAGCTGTCTTTCTGTCTCTGGCCCAATGGGAGGGAGAGCCCTGGGCCCGTTCCATTTTGTGCCCGTATTGATCTGTTGGCAGCAATGGGCTGGATAATTAGCCAGGAATTAGGGTTTCTATTACAGCCAGGAGGCTGCTCCAGCTGATTTATCACCTGAATAATTTACTGTGATTGAAAGGAAATTAAAATGAACTCCATTTGACAACTGTGAGCTTTTATGGGCTTTAGTGAAGGCTCAAAAGCCAGATTAATAGCTTGGTGTTGGTTAATAGTCTGCCGAGAGTAAATACGGCAGGCTGTGCTCGGTGGCAGCTTCCCTGCCTCGGCCGAAGGAGGGACCACCTCCCGCCAGAAGCACAGCACCCACGACAGCGTCAGCTCGAGTTTTACTGACGCAGATTTCCCTGTCTGAAACAGAAACACACGTGTAAGCGTGCACATGCACACACATGCACGCACCAGCAGTTGTTACTTTGTGTTTTCCTTTCCTACCCTGAGGTGATTTTTACTCACTCCGCGTGTAGAGAAAACAGAATTGCTTTTCATATAGATATGTTGAAAAGGAAGTGTTCCCTTGCCCCAGCAGTGTGTCTATGTTACCCCTTTCCACCCAGGTCCAAGGGTTTACTAAGTTGCCCTATAAGAGGAAGAAGCCTGGGCCCATCGCCCAGGGTAGATCTTGGCAGGAAGAGATCTACCAGCGAGGTGAGGGCAGGCCCTGAGCTCATGGGAGCAACTGTCAGGACCCCAGCCTGGCCCTGAAGAAGGCTCTTCCCGTGGGGGTTTGGTGTTTCTGCCTGGAACACCCTCTCCAGCCAACTCTACAGCCTCCACAGCACTGGATTCTGCCCAGCCCTCAGCACCCAAGTGTCAGGAGGATTTCAGCACCCAAGTGTCTGAGAGTTCCAGGATAATAGGCAGACTCTGGCCACAAAAGGCTGGTTCTGAAAACCAGCCAGTCAGAACACTGGCTTCTGGAATCTTTCAGAGACACGAAGGCCCATGCAACTGTCTCATGCAAGATGAAGACAAAAGATCCTGAGGTTAAATTCTAGCTCTGTGGCCTCGACAAATCTCAGAAGTCCCCTGGGCCTCACATAGGGAGAACGGTCTGAAAAGAATGCTCCCATCTGTAAGATGGGGCTCACAAATCTTGCCCAGTCTGCTTAGCAGGCATTTACACTGAGGTCCAGAGAGACTACGGATGTGAAAGGTACTTCAAAATTGTTACCGTATCATGTGGAGGTGAGAAAGACCACTGTGGCTTTGCTACTGCCGTTGTTATTATCAAAATCACAGTCACTACTGCCTCATATATAGAAACTGACTTCCAGGAAGTCAAACAAATTGCCCAACAGGGCAGAGCCAGGATTCAAGTCAAACTCCCCTGACTCCAAGGCCAGCAAACGTTCTTTCTCCCGCATCGGGCTGCTCAATGAAACTTACAGCAAGGCCCCCACCGAGGCCCCCAGCCCTTGGAGTCACAGATCTGCTCACAGTGGAAGAGGGGCCAGCCTCAGCGGCCGGAGCTCCAGGCCCCCTTCCTGTCTCCACCCTCGTGTCCTCTCTGGGGCTCACGGGGCAAGGCGAAAGCAAGCATGACGGGGCTCAAGGAACCTGTACCCTTGACGTGCCTGCCTTCCCAGCCTGCAGCTCCTTGCTCAGACCATCATTTGTCCAAAGTGATTGGGAGTCGGGAGCGAGGGTATGTCATTCATAGTCCAGTGCCTGTGTGTGCGCCCAGCGGCCCCACAGCCTCACCTTCCATCTCTCCTCATTACCGCGCATTACGGGGAGGTGAAGGAGATTAACCAGAAAGCCCTGAGTCAGTCGTTATCCCACCACGAGGTTCGCCTGCAGGGCCTGCCTCGGCCCACACCGTCAGAGACAGGCCCGCAGCCGTGTCCGCATCATTCTGAAGGACACTGCACAGCGAGACCGCTGGAAACAGAGCCCTCGCCGAGTTTATAATTCAGGTCTCTTTCCTCCAGGCCCGATCTCTACGTGGGCCCATCAACCGGTCCGCCAACATCACCTCCTCTGTACCACTGCCCCGGATGCTCCCAGTGGAGGCAACGTCTCCATTCATCAGGGCTACAGGACATTCTCCCTGCCCTTACAGAATCCAAATCCACACCACACTGCCCCCGGAAGGTGGTGCCTGGTTCATCTCTCCCTCCCCGGGGTGCCCGGCGCTGTGCCAGCCTCACAGCCAGCGTGCAAAACACAGGTTGGATAAATGAGCATGTGAGTGTGTCTGAGCAAGTGACTGGACAGACACGTGGCTGGAGTCCTCCCAAGTATGAGGCCCTGTAGTGTCTGCCTGGTCTTTCTGGGCGTTCTAAACTACATGGACTACGATCCAGGTTCTGTGGGTTCCGAGGACTGTGGGAAACACAGGGGGCTCACCGGGCATGCGGCAGTCTCCGTGCCTGGGCCCCTGCGCCTCACTCCTCACTCACTGGGTGACCTCCCACAAGCCCTGTGCCCTCGCTGGGCCTCTTAAAGATGGAGGGAGAAGGCTTGCTGTCATCCCCACAAGTGCTGATGTGATCTTGTCAATGGTTGGAAGATACATTTTCTCCCAGATTCTGGAGGGAAAGGCAGACCTCCCCTAAGGAGGTTTTCCTGACTAAATCCCTTTTCTCCTCCTGCTCTGTCAGGTGAAATGTGGTTCTAGCCATCTCTCAGAAGAGCTCTGGGCAGTGGGATAGGCTGTTTGTGATGGGAAGAGACTCTTTTCCCTAAAACCCAGCAACCTGAGTGTGGGATCAGGCCTGTCCAGCCCACTCAGCTACCTCGTTCCTGGAGGAGACTTCACTCCACCTGCGGGATAAAGACCAAATCCTGACACAGTCTATGGGACCAGACCCACCTCTCGACATCCCCTCCCACCCGTCTTGACAGCCATTCCCTGAAGCACGGCCAGCAACTCTGTTCTTCACTCCTGCCTCTCTCCCTCCTGCCTCAGGACCTTTGCACCTGCTCTTCCTTCTGCCAGACACATTCACCCATACCTGTGTCCCTTCCTCTGATTCAGCTCAACCCCTTCGGGCTCTGCAGAAATGCATTTCCCCTTCAAGCTGGCTCAGTGTCTGCTCTGTGTTTTTGGAGAGCTGCAGACATGCCCTCCTCAGCACCTAGCACATCTGCAATCCATACCCTTTGAGTTATTCTTCATCGTGATCCTTCCACACATCTGTAGGCTCCCTGAGGGCAGGCTCAAGCCTGCCTCTTTCACGAATGGACCTCTGGTGTCTGCTCTGTGTTGTGCACTAGTAGACGCTCATCTGTGTTTGTCAAGTGAATACACAACTTGCTGCGCAGCCTTGGGCAAGTCTCTTCACCCATCTGGGCCTTGGTTTCCCCGTCTGAGAACCAAGTGGATCAGTGCTCTTCAGGACAGCTCTCGTAGGAAATGCCGAGAGGTGGCCAGACCGTCATAGGATGGTGGCCCGAAGGCCTCATGCACTCCTCGCCACCAAGGTCCCCTCAGGCAACTTTCCTCTCTACAAGACTTTGTGTACACAGCGTACTGGTTTGGAATTGCTTTTCCAGAAAATGTCAGAAGCATCATCTAATTAGCATGCAGAAGAAGCTCGGCATAACCAGGCCTCACCACCAGCACCAGATAGCAAAGTTCTGGGAAAGCCATTGCCCACAGGTCTCTCAGACCAATGGGAGCCCTTGGCAAGCAGAAACCATGTCTGAGCCACTCGTGCCTGCAAGGAACCCAGCACAGGGCCTAGCACAGACGGAGCATCGGGAACTACTGTCCTGGATTGAGTCTGGACCTCGCCCAGGCCCCGGGAGCCTCTCCCTGGGCAGACCCGTTCTGTCCCATCTCTGTGACCACAGGCAGGGACTGCTTCTCTCCCCAGGGCAGTGCAGGGGGCTGCTCTGCAAGGGGTCCTCCTCCTGCTCTCTCCTCTCTTGCCAATGACTCAGCTGGGCATTTGTCCAGTGAGGCATTTCCTCATTTCCAAACCCTCAGACTCAGTTTCTAAAAGCAGGACCAGGCAACCTGACCAGGGGACTGACGGGGGGTGCATACCAGTACCATCATAACGTGGCTTATGGCCGTAGGGCGCTTACGTATTTCTGCCTTCACCCTGACGGGATAATGACGCAAGACCACCTCCAGTGGCCCAGAAGATCATCACACCCCCTGTGCAAAGAGCCCTGGGAAGGGCCACCAGGCAAGACAATGCAGAGCAGCCAGACAGGTCACATCCCCTCCTGGCCAGGAGGAGAAACAGAGGCACCGGGCGAGAAGTCTCCAGAACCCCCAGCAAGTCCTCCTGACCTCGTGGGATGCTTGGCCAAGAACAAGGAGAAGCCGCCTGTGAATAGAACTGGGTGCTCCCACCCACACCCGGCCAGGCGCCTTCGGGAGGACCCCCAGGCCTGCATTCGGGTGGGGCTGTGGCGGGCAGCGTGTCCCGGGGCGTACCTGCTCGGGCTTGATGGGCTCCGTGGTGGTGAAGATGTCCGAATAGTGCTGCCTCTCAAACACGCGGTCCAGCACCTCCAGCTGCTGCTGCGTGAACAGGTCTCCCCGCATCTGCTTCCGGAGGAAATCTCTGCCCGGCAGGGAGTGGCCGTTCGGCACTGGAGACTCCTGAATACCTTGGGTGAGCATGAGAGGGGAAGGGTGAGTGCGGCTTACACGAGCTGCTGAAGAGAAACACGTCAGACCCTGAGACTGGGAAGAGGGCCTGAGAGACACACGGGCCCAGAAACAGACAGGGGGGTCCTGGCCAAAGTCGCCCTGCTGGTGTGCACACAGACGGCCTCCCTCAGCCACACACCGGGCACTGTGCATTGCATGCCCTGTTCACACGCATCACCTCGTCTAACCCTCACAGGGACCCCACTGAAGATGCTACTGTTTTCCCACTTTTCAGATGAAAAGACTGAGGTCTAGAGAGATCAAGTGATTTGCCCGAGCACTGGCACTAAAGTTGACTCAGAGGCTTAATCAGCAGATGCCACTGCCTCACTTGTACCGACAGTCCCCTGGGAGGTGCAGCTTTGTCCCAGAGTCCATGCCCTTCCCCAGGACATGTGCTGCCACATCATGTGACCGGCCAATACAGCGCTGTTAGAAAGGCTGTAGAGAAACACATGCCCGCGCCATTCTGAGGGGAGCCTATCGGCCCCATGCCCACGGCAGACAGTTTGACAAAGCCTGTCAGGGTCATCAGCGCACATTCCCTTCCACAGAGCAACTGCGCCTCTGGGAACCTCTTCACAGCTGGCCTTGCACACGCGGGAAGGGACACATGTTCGGATCCCAGAAGCAAAAGACTGGAAACTGCCCGAGTCTGTGGGCAGGGGCCACACGGATAAGTCCCGGCGAGCCCACCGGGCGCCCACACTGCGCCCACACTGCGCCCACACCGCGCACTGCTCTGTGCAGCTGCCAGGGGGAAGGGGATGCGCTCTGTGAATCGGTGTGGACAGAACTTCAAGACACATTATTATATGAAAAATAAGTAAGCCAGGTACAGCACAGCACATACACTTACAACCTTTTGTGTAAAAAGGAAGAAAAGAATGCATTTTATAGAATGCATAAAATATAAATATATTAATGTAACATTATATACCTATTAACATGGTGTAATGATATAATATATACCAATATACATATATATTATATGTGATGTATAGATTACATGATGTGCATACATATTAAAATGTATTTTTATATAAAAATGTATGTATACATGTGCACACACAAGAACTCTGTAAGGAAACAGCAGAGACATTTAGACAATTCAGGCATACAGAAACCAAGTGAAAGTAAACAAAGGGGAGGGAGACTTTCCATAGTATGCCTGTTTTATTTTGTTTTGTTGCAGAACTTTAAATGTATTGCCTTTTCAAAAGTGTAAATCACCTAGAAAGTATAGACTTAAACTCTCCACGTGCTCTGTACTGGTAGCTCTCCCCGCTGTAACAGTCTCTGGGGATGAGCTCATGTGCCAACGAAAATATTATAAATTACCAATAAAAAAAGCAAATGGGATGGGGCATCTTCTGTAAGCCTGGGGCTTGAACCGTTCAATGTGAACAAAAACAAGGAGGCCAAAAGTCTCCGGGTGGAAACCACCTCGAGGGCCGGGGGGCTCTCCGGGACCACGCTGCGTGCGGGCCGCCCAGAGACCCTGCCGGAACCCAGGCCCCGAGACGCTGCCTCTGCCTGTGCAACTGGGAAGCAAGCACTGGGGGAACCAGCACGCACTGGCTCTCTCCCTGGTAGGACCCCTCCTCACACGAGACCTTGCCCTGCCCCCCACCCTGCCCCCTGCTCCCACGCTGCTGACCTGGGCTTCATCTGTCACGTTAAACCCCTCCCCCCCGCGTGAGGAAAGGGGCCAAACCAAGGAGCCGGAGCAGGGGGATGTAGTGTCACTGAGATGCTGCCAAAAGTTGGTGTTTCCCCAACTGTCCTGTCTGGGGGCAGCTGTAACGCAGGGCCTGACAGCTGAACAAAGACACCAGCTTTGGGGCTCACACGAGTGTTGGCTGTCACATGGAAGTCCCTGCCACGTGACAGCTCAGAGCACCTCAGCATCTTCCACAAGAAGAGCCTCAGAGGTGGCTCAGGCGTACCCTGAGAAAATGGACCCCAGGTAAATTTTGACCACAGAGGACACCAGAGTCTGGGTCTCTGCCCTGTGCACAGGACATCAGCCTCATCGGCACCATGATGCCCCTTCCTCCATAATGGCTCATCCCCACAGGCACCAAGACTAGCGGGCTGCGGGGGCTCCCGGCCCGATCTGTGTCTGCCCAGCGTGTTCTCTCACTAGTTGGCATGTACCAAATAACCCTGTTATCGAAGGTCTCTCACACACACACACACACACACACACACACACACTCACAAGGGGAAAAGGCTCAGCTTGCTCTTCCTCAGCTGTTACTCTGGCCAGCCATCCTGGCCCCAGCCACTCCTGCCAAACCTTGACCTTGGCCTCGGTCCAACGGTGTTGCTATCAAGTTTCTCCATGTCAGAGAGACCACATCCACTCCTAAGAGACTTCTCTCTGTCCACCAGTTTCCTGACACCCCCCACCCCCCATTCCCTATCCTGCCAGCCAGGCCTGAAAGTCTGAATGAAGGCTCCTTCCTCTCCGCCAGCTCCTGACAACTCCCACCAAGGCCTCATCTGCCCACCTCTTCTCTCCCACTGGGGGTCCCCCATTGAACATGCCCCAACTTTGCCCTTCCAGGAGGCCTCTGCCCATCCACCAGGCCATCCTCCCACAACACCCTCAGGCTCGCTCCCTCTCCCACAGAGTTTATGGCAGGGGGGAGGCCGGGTTGAGCTTCGCCTGCACTGAAGAAGCTCAGAAAAGGTGCTAAGCTGCATACAAGGTCACTGTCTGGTCACCAAGTAGAGCCCAACACAGAGTAAAGACTCAGAGAGTAGGCCACCTCAAGTGCACGCACTGGGAGTCCTGGAGGCCCATCCCCGCCAAGGTCACTGCACATACCCCAAGGTCACTGCACATACCCCAAGCAGAGGCAGCCCCACTGGGCCCCCCACCCAGTCGTCCAGGAAGACTCGCTGCGTCCTGTTCCGGCTCTCTGACAGCTGGCCCCGGCCTCCACGGCTGGGAGGCTGCCTAAGCTGTCCTGCTGACCCAGATACTCCAAGTGGAGGACTGCGGTGGGAAGAGCCACCTCTCCGGGCATTCGCCCTGACCGTGATGGCTCTTGCTGCTCTGCCTCGGCCAGCACCTCTACTTGCTTTCTCTTCTCAGAAGGTGGATGAAACCTACCCTGTCACTTTGCTCAGATGCCTAAGGTCTGCCATTTCTTTAAGAAAGCTTTAGACACTCCTAAACATATAATCATTTATTCATTCATTTAACAAATATTGATAAAGTGTTTACTCTGTGCCAGGAAATATTAAAAACAAAAACAGAGGAGACAGTGATGACCCAGGCCCCTCCTTCCAACGTACTAAGGGCAGCCTGCTTGAGTCAAGTACTTGCACCGACCTGTGACTACACACTGTGATTACTGCTAAGTAGAAAAGGTGTCTAGACATATTTACCTCTAACTGTTTATAATAGGGAGGGTCAGGGAAGTCTTCCAGGGGGAGGTCCTGCTTGAACTGAAAGTAGAGGAGGAGGGGTCAGCAGGGCACAGAGGGTGGGGTGGAGCGGGGGTACCAGACAGCAGAGACTGCCTGTGCAGAGGCCCAGAGACGAGAGGGGAGGAAAGGAACAGAGGGGGTGACAGGCAGAGACCCCAGGAGACTCTGAGTGGGGAGCCACCAGAAGGGGCTGGGGAAACAACCGGCCTTCACGCTTCTCCATCCCAGGCCTGAATCACTAGTCCCTCTAGATACGGCCATGTTGTCTAATTCCTGCTCCCCAGCCTCCTCTTTCAGAAAGAGCAGGAGCTGGCAGCATGAATTCTGTGCAGGTGGGCGTTTGAAGGTGATGCCTGGAGCCAGCCTGTCAGCCGCAGGTGCCCCACCAGGCCCGCGTGAAAGGCGAAGCGTTCCTCATGGACGCGCGCGGTGTTGCCAGGACAGACACAGCCCGCAGTACGCATGCCGCCTCCTCTGGGGTGCCCTTCTCCGTGTGCGTCCCAGCCGCTTTCCCCTCTAACCACTTTCTCCCGGGACCCTTCGCTTTCGCTCTGCTTTATTAGCTACCATGGGGGAGGAGGGGCCGCAGTTAATTCATCCCTGTCTCCTCCACAGGGAGCATTTCTGGAATAAATGAACAAATCGGTAATATCTGTGAGGACCACCTTCACTCCGAAGATCTGATCTGGGAATGTCAGTACCCCTCTGTCTGACTTTGCGCATTCATTCCTCCTTTCCTCAGCCAGTCTTACTGAGCGGGCGCTGTGCTAACACTAGGCACACAGTGGTGGACAGATGCTTGCCCAGCCCTGGTCGCCATGGAGTTACATCAGCAAATGTTCATTGGAAAATAATCAGACCAGTAAAGGTACAAGTGTCAATCAATAAAGGCTCATGGTTCTCAGGCCAAGGGATATAGCTGATCTGTTTCTGGGCGCCGCACATAGTAGGTACACAAACAAAGAGATTATATGCTCATAGACAACTACAAAAATGAGTACCAGAAAATCAGCCACAGCACGAAGGCCGATCGGAACCTCCAGGCCTCCAAGCGGAAGCTTCCACAGTGTTTCTCATCTGTGCCTCAGAGATGCTGTCAGACTTCCCTGGAGAATGTGGTCTGGGAAGCAGGCTACAGAGACTCTCGGACCCATTTCATTCCAGGGAGAAAAATCCGAGCTCGCGATGTGAATGGTATGCTTAAATACGTGGACAGACACAGGCAAAAGTACAAAGGTATACAGGGGGCATGGTATCTTTAAATCTTTTTTTTCTACTCCAAATCAAATAATATGTGATAGACCCAGTGCTGGGCTTAGCCAACCATGGCTGTTAGAATTAACATTCTGGAAGCTAGCTTCAGGGGAGCAAGGGGCAGGAAGCCCCGTCTCAGGGAGCAAAGAAATGCTGGCTTTAAATTTCAGGTTAAACCAATGTTATTCACAACCTGGCTTTGAAGCTAAAAGCTTTACACAATCGGGTCTGGTCACGCAAAGGGGGAGGAAGCAAAACA